AAACAAAGTAATACTTATAAAAAAATCATTTTAATAAAAAAAACAATCTAAATAAATACTAAAAAAGAGTTAAACAAAGTTGGTCAAATGTACCTGAATCATATATATTATATATATTAATATATATTTTCAAAACAACTGCTGATGATAATTGTTTCTCTTATGTATTTATGATATGATACAAAACATAACAGCGTAACTAACAAAACTATTACTAAAACGTAATCAATTATCATTATTATTTTATTGTCTCCGCAAGGTTTTTTATCTAAATATTGAAAAATTCCACAAAAATGATAGTCGTTAATGCAAGCACTATCAGCGCAGGCAGCTTATGCCGTACAATTATTTACTTCTGCTGATGCCTATATAAAGTAGGCAAAAAATAAATGGCACAAATTTAGAATGTACCACAAATGCTCGATCAGATTCATGTCATGGGACTGGGCAGGCCATTCCATTACATTAATATCATTTTTTAAAAAATATTTCTTTGTGTCTATTGGCAGAATGTTTTGGATCATTGTCTGGTTGAATGGCTAAGTTATTTCTGAATCTAAATTTACAAGAAGAGAGATTCAAATGATTTATAATGTAATAGTGATTTATAAATGATTTATAATGTCTATATAGGAATTGGTGTTCATTGTTGATTCTATGAAAGTCAATTTGCAAACTCCTTGCCATTCCATTGATCCTCATACCATGACATTTCCACCACCATGTTTTACTGTTCCTCTCATGCAACTCAATTTGTATGCCTTGCCTTGTTTTTGCCAAACTTTTTGCTGTCCTCAATAGTACTCAATAGTCTTGTCAACATACTGTTTTATAAATAATAATCTTTTTTTCACGTCTTAGAGACAAATAGGATTTTTTGCAACATAGTCTACCATGAAATCTTTGCTCTTGGATTCTATTTTGGATAGTTTGAGCTGAAATTATGATTTTGTGGTTGTTTTTAAATTTGATAACTTGGAGTTATTTTGGATATTTGACTTTGATTCAGTTTTTGCATTCGTTTTGTCAGCTAACGATTGATTCTTAAGATAGAATGCAATTCTATCTTTATCAATCAATCAACAGCTGGACATTAAATTGTTAGACATAATAGAATAAAAACTTCAATTTTTAAAGTTATCGATGTTAAAGAAGAAAAATGATTGCACATTTTATAGCTCTGCTCAATGAAATCATTTAAAAAATTGCTAATGTTAATTAGTTGAAAATAATGTTAATAACTGTCCTGTGCAAATATTATCTAAACTGAATACTTAATACTAAGATTAGATAGAAAAAAAAAAGTGCTAACCCCAAATTCATAAATTTAAATTTTACACAAAGATGTCAGTACCAGTTTATCCTGCCCCACTTTGAATACTGAGTATATTATTTAAATCCTGTATCCTTGAAAACAAAACTTTGTATACAAATTTCAGCAACAGTAACTTAAAAACTTTAAACTTAATTGCCAATTTATGTTTGCAATTACAACACTATCTTATTTTTTTTGATATCTTCCATATTTTGAAATAATCAAGCGAATCAGCATTTGGGAAAAACTCATCTTTTAAAAGTAACTTTATTTTACATAACAAATTATTAACTGAAAAAAATAATTAAAAATATTACCTTGGCTTTAGGAGTTTCCAACAGTCTATAATTCTACCTTTTGTTTTCTCATTTTCTCTTTCTTCTTTTAGTATCTTTTCAACAGGTAAAATAATTGGAAAATAGGTTGGATTGTCCGGTAGAGAAATGCTCATAAATATATTGATATCAGCCTGACTAACAGTTATAAAGCACATAAGCATATAATTAATCACTATAATATATAAAAATAATAGTTCAGCCTAAAGTAACATTTAAAATAAGCACAGTTTAAAGTAACATTTAAATTAAGTATAGCTTAAACTAACATTAAAAAATAAAAAAATAAAAAAAAGCATATAGCAAACTAGTTAATAGCAATAGCTTAATAGGCTAAACAACTTTAAGGTTAATAAGTCAATAACTAGTTTAAACTGATGAGAACCCTTAAAAAGATTCCATAGTCTAAGATGCATAATTTAGAGTTTAAGATGCATAATTTTAACCTTTAAAACTATTTTGAAACAGGACTTTGAAAATTAAAAAAAAAAAAAAAAAGATTCTTAGACTCAAAGCCCTGTACTTGTTTAACTTTAGTATTTAGAAGTTTCTGGAACATTTGACCCTCAAGTAAAACTATTTGAGCCCAGAATATTTTTATGGGACTGTAAACTCTTAAATATGTTAAATGTAATTTGAATTATACTTACGATTTGGCCATTGCAAGTAAAAAACGTCTCCCAATCACCTGTTATTAAATATATATAAAATAACTGGTTATTAAATAAACACCTGTTGTTAAATAAACAAGTGTAATTAAATAAATAAAAACTAAAATATTAAAGATATATACTGTTCTTAAAGCCTTTCTGTATACATTTGCAGCCCATCCTGGTAATGCAGGAGCACTCTTTAAAACAAAATATTTTAATGAAAATTTAATAAAATTTACAAATACATGATTATGATAAAATGTTACATCATAACATTATATATTTATGTATCATTGTATAAATACTATTAATAAACAAATACTATTAATAAAATAAACTAATATACAATTTACTAATAATGATTAAACTAATAAATGGATAAATATATTCTCATTTAGTGAATCACATACTTTAAAATAATAAAGTTTTTACTCAAATATAACTCCAAATTAAAATGGGAGCAATAGCGGTGTTGAGGTTAAACACAAACTATTTATTTAGTTTGATGCCCACCACATCTCTGGTAGTACTGTGCTCAATTTGTTTCTCTATACAGCGGCCTTGTTTGTCAAGGTTTGAGTTTTGGAGATATAGAATTGAGACAGTGTTGTAACCACATCTAGTTGTGTTGTTACAACACTCTCTGAATATAAGGAAAGGCGACTTAGGGAGGTGAATTGAAATTAAAAAAAATCTGGATCCATAGTAACATTTTAAAACTTAAAGTATCCTAAATATATTATAACAACGCATAATAAAATCCACTAGCATGTACACTGCACATGCTAGTGGATTTTATTATGCATATATATATATATATATATATATATTCATATATATATATATATATATATATATATATATATATATATATATATATATTTATGTGCACATTGTGCACATATATATATATGTGTGTGTGTTTATATATATATATATATATATATATATATATATATATACATATATATATATATATATATATATATATATACATATATATATATATATATATATATATATATATATATATATATATATATATACATATATATATATATATATATATATATATATATATATATATATATATATATATATATATATATATATGATATATATATATATATATATATATATATATATATATATATATATATATATATATATATATATATATATATATATATATATATATATATATATATATATATATATATAGAAAACTCCCAGTTATTTGAACCTCTAAGGGGAACAAGAATTTACTTTGAATAACCGAAAGTTTGAATAAATGAAAATCTTCTTTAAAGTGACCAATTTCAAGTTACTATTAAACTTTAACGTTAGTAGAAAGTAAAAAAGAAGAAAAACTTTGGAATAAGATGCTGTTTAAGTCTTTACCTTCTCAAAAAAAAAAAAGAAAGAAAGAAAATCTTTACAATTTTTTGAAAAAATCGTTCATCTTCGATTGCTTTTTTGCTTCTAACTAATGTTTATCAAACATCTTTGATACTAGGTTTAGCGATTGTCGGATTTTGATGCCGTTATTTTCAAAAAGAGACCAACATTTCTCTATTAACTCTATTGCACATGCAACCTCTGATAATTTTGGCTTTACCAGAGCAGGAGGCAAATTGTTTAAATCTTCGTCTATCTCCTCATCTACCTCAGCACAATCGTTGATTAAAATGGAATCCAGAATTTCTTGATCTGTGATAGCGATTGCTTCGCTTGTACAAATATCAAAATCTATGTTTACATAATCCTAAACAGCAAAATCTTTCTCTACTAAGCCACGTAATATAAGCTCTTTGACGTTTTCTTCAAGCAATTCAAAAGGATCTTCTTCACCATTTATACTTACAACTGGAATTTCCTTTGAGATGCCTGTCTTTCTAAAACAATTTATTACAGTATTAGTCGATACAGCATCCTATGACTTGACCAACATGCTTATAGCTTCGAGAATGATGATATTTGGGGTCGTTTTACCAGCATTGATGTATTTTATTTGACGCCTCACAACATTCGGGCAATAAAAAGTCTTCAATGTCCTTATGACTCCCTGGTGCATTGGTTGCATTTTGGAGGTTTTGTTTGATAGATTTTCAACATTAGGATGAGCTGGGCAGTTGTCTATGATTAGTGCAACTTTTCTACTCTCAGCATTAAACTTTGCGTCAAGTCTCCTTACATAATCAGTAAAGATTTAAGAGATTTTAGATGAAAGGTTAAAATAAACCAAACTTGTCAGCGTTGTAAGCATCTCTCAATTCATATCTTGAGAGAATAGTGGGCAAATGGGTTTGCTCCCAACTTGATGTCTTTTACGCTGTACATGACCTTTCCTCGCCAGAAATAGTTAAAGAAAAAAGCATGTTTATTTTTCCACCGATCAAGCCTTCTGAAGCCTTAAAAGCTGCAATGTTGAGTTCTTTTGCAAAACCTAAAGCTTTTTCTCTAATGATGTGTCCACCAATCATACATTTTGTTCACGTGCGCTCATAAACCATTTATATACAGCTTTATCAATTGAATCATGTTTTCCCAAATCTAACTTTTGTCTCTTTGGTCCAGATTGACCTGACTCATACTTGCTAATTATGTCATTTTTATGCCTAATCCAGTTAAAGTGTTTTGAGGAACACTGAACTTTTTTGCAATGCTTTTTTTAGTCCTTTTTCTAACTCTTTAAGAGCAAGATATTTATCTTTGATTGTCAGAACTGTTTTGTTTTGTTTAGATGTCATGTTGAAACTTCTACCGGACTACTTTGCAATGTCTTCAATTTTTTAATTACATTTTAATAACATTATTTCGTTTATAATATTTTGATAAGGTTTAGTAGCGTTATGTTTTGAAATGATATGGTATCTTCAAATAAAAAAAACTTCAAATAACTGACAGGGTTTTCATCAAGGGAAGTAAAAAATTGTTTCGAATAACCGAAATTTCGAATAACTGCATATGCAAATAACTGATGGGTATTTGCATTGGTTTGTTATGGAAAATTTTGCGGGGAATTTTAATTTCTTCAAATAAGCGGAAAATTCGAATAAGTGCCAGTTCCAATAACCGGGAGTTTACTGTATATATATATATATATATATATATATATATATATATATATATATATATATATATATATATATATATATATATATATATATATATATATATATATATATTTATTAGAGTGCTTTAAAAAAATGTTTAATCCAAGCTTATCATCTGCCCAGACCATGATTTAGTACTAAAAATTTCTTTTTTTAATTATTGAAAATCCTTAGGGTTCCTTCAGGGGGTAAAATGGTCAATTTTTATTGAATTTTGTACCATTTTAAAACAGTTTGTAGAAAGTATTAAAATAAATATATCTGAATTTTTTTTTATATATTTTTGTTTGGAAAGACTTACTTAACTAAAATAAAATATTCTCAAAAAAAGTTTTAAGCTTATAAAACCTGTTTTAAAAAAAAAAAAATCCATAAATATTTTGAAAAAATTCTTAAAATAATCTAAAAAGCACAATTTGTGATTTACTTTTAATACAGTACTATATTGATTTCTCAATTATAATCAGCCTCAGAGGTTATCATGGAAAATATGCAAAAGAGAGGGCCTGGACAGGGAACAAAGAAATATTTCTTGTAATCAATAGTCAAAATTATAAGGTTTTTACTCAAATTTAAAAAAATCAAAATTTATAAAACTAGAAAAAATATTAAATCAATAGTAAAGTTCTGTTTTAAAATAAAATACAACAATCCCATTAAATTTATGATCCTCTCTATTCTCTCTTAAAAAACTGTTATTAACAAAAAAAAAACACAAGAAACTAGTCTTATTTCATTCTAGGAACTTTTTTGTAATCTTTTTTTCCCTGCCTTTCCTGTTTTTGTTATTGTTAAACTTAAAAAGAAAGGTGCCCTGCCTTTTCTTCTCAGAATATGTTTTGTTTATTTAGCCTTAGGCTAATTTAACTGCTCTCTCAGAGAAGTGATTAACAACATTAGGTTCCTTGACTGTTGCTCTAAATAAAAAAATAAAATAAATTCTAAAAAAAAATTGTTGAATTTCCAAAACTTTAGTGAAGTCTTCATTCATTGAGTTTTTACCTTTCCATGCCTAAGCATGTCAAAAACTAGCCACAACTTGTCAGTTGCTAATGGAGTTAAACTAGGCGGTTCATCTTTACTAAAGTTGATCAATTCAACATAGCTTGGTCCATTATCTGATTCTTTAAAGAAAAACTGTTGCTTATTTGTTTACAAACGAGATCTTTGTAAACTGTACAGTTTTTTGGCCATATCACTACATTCCCTACATTCTTTACATGTTAGGACAAAAACTAACGAAATGGGATTACCATGCTGATGCGTGTCGGGGTTACAGCAATAATGTTGAACAATCAATTTTGTAATAATTTCGAATATATTAAAAAGGCCAAATACTGCAAAAAAAAGGAATAGTGTTGCAAAAGAATTTAATGAATAGTGTAGAAAACCAAAAAAAGGAATTGTGTTGCAAATAGTAAAAGAAATATCGCAAACAGTAAAATTGAAATAGTGTCGAAAACAAAAAAAAGGTGTCACAAATAGTAAAAACAGTATAGTGTTCAGTGAAGAACCCAGAGTTTATTTGGGGATACCGTTTTTTTTTCAGCAATGTGAGAGAGGGGGAATTATGTATTTGATTTCCCCTCACCCTCACTCTCCCTTAGTCTCCCCGCAACAATAATTCTCAACTCAACTCGTTTCTCCGCGCAGCGGCCTTGTTCATCAAGGTTCGTGTTTCGGAGTTATAGAGTTGAGAGAGGGTTATAACCACAAATAAGTAGCCTCCTCGTCTGTAGTGGCCTTCTCGGCCTTGAGAAGGTGAATTAAATTAAAAAAAAAACAATAATAAAATAATTTTTAATCATTATTTTTTTAATAATCATTTATGTTTATCTTGTTCGGTTTTATCCTATAATAAGGTGTTGATTTAAAGGCATTTTTTCAATACATGAATTTACTGGTGGATGATGTTACTTTAGTTAAAATAAATAAATAAATAATTAAAAAAATAAATAATTATTGAAAATTGTTTGCAGTTATTAACTATATTTTTGTAAATTTAATTTAAAATAATAATTAAAAATATTTTAAACAATTTTTAACAAATATTTACGTTACATAGTATATTTACATATACT